ATCTGAAATAGTCCTGACCAAGCCTAGTTCAAGAGTTGGAGAGCTGGGTCCCTGGGTGCACCCACTGCCCCTGACAGGTTGCCCAAGCTGCATTAAAGGATGGGTTAAATGCAGAGTATACATTTCTATATGGGGACAATAAAGTGCTTGGAGTTGTGGTTTGTTTCATTCAGACAAATCCTGCATATTTAGGTTGAATTCTTCTCTCAAACTGAAAACAACTTTGTTCAATCTTGTGATGTCAAGTGGTAATACAGCAAGTGCTTTTAAATTCCACACACATTCATTAGAATCACTTGGATGATTTCAGGGCTGGAACTTCCAATCTCTACTGAGGTACAATGAGCTGTTAATTTGAAAACTACCACTTCATGAATGAATGCCTTTATTTGTTAATTTCCAGACATACAGAGGAATCAAAATTGGACCTGTCACCCCATCTGTACATTTACAAACACATAATACATAACATGGAGGTATTAGACATGAACTGGACCAGCAGAGGAAGATCATGAGGATAGGTAGGATAAAAAAAAAAGAGAACAGCCCCAAGACTGTGCCCTTTTCGGGGGCATAGTATGGAACCAGCACACACAAAAAACACCTCTGCAATCTCAACACATAGTCAAAACAATACAGACATCACAACTAGATTTGCAACCGGAGAGGGTAGGGGAGTTGAGTTGACCCAACCTAGGCAAGCAGCCATCCAGATCCTGCAGCCACGTGGCGCTGGATACAACAGACCCACCTACCATGCTGGGTGGGGCAAAGCTGCGAGGGCGTAGAGGAAGCGAGGAGAGGAAAGCCCCTTCCTGCTCCAGTCCAAAGACATAGACAGACTAATAATAAAGGATTACTCAAACATGTGTGAATGAAACAAAACATAACTCCAGATAGGTTTTAGAGGACACAACAACATTATAACATGACTTAAAGCTCCCAAGAGTCAATTTTGTGTAATATAGGAGTAAAGTATGTGAAGGATTAGTCTTGATGAAGGATACAACAAGGACAGTCTTGTTCAAGGACACAACAACAACACTTGGGCGAGGTTTGAACTGGCTAGCCTCTTGTTCATGGATAAATGCATAACCCCTGCAGGATTACCAGTTCATACAGTATTTTATCACCAGTTTATCTAGTTATGACCCTCTAAAATACAATGCGAATTGAACCATTAAATGTTTTCCCAAACCATTTAAGCCACGTCAATTAGCAGCTAACTGAGACACCCTCCACTATTTCTATTGCATTCTCTAAATAGCTTTAATTAACAGAAAACAGTGTTAGTGGTCTGGCAGTTCAACAACAACAACAGGGTAATACTTCAGCCCTCTCCAGTCTCATTAGCCCCGGTCTTTTTCCCAGTACAGCTTGTGTAGATCTATAATGCATTGGCCCTATTGAAAAACATTAGAGCACCACTTTCCACCAGTTATAAATGTTTTTTGCACCGAGCATCTGACAGTGATGGACTCCCACTGCTGCAACCTCCAGACCCTTTCATTTGGAGCTCTCCGTTTGGCTCAAAATGACTTCAAATAACACTTTCTCTATCTGAGATGCCATGTTTTAACAGTCTACGCTGCAAAAATGTTATAATAAAAAATGACTTGGATTCAGATTTTTTTTTTGTTTAGTTTTTGTTTTAGCGACACTACCAAAATATACTTAATAAATATACTGAAAATATACTAAAGTCAAAACCTAGTTTGAAAAATGAACTATACTGAAGTAGAAATACCTTAAAATCAGGATGAATATTCAGACATTTTAACATGTAAAATTATTAAATTAATAACCTGGGTAGTCTGTCCCTTAAACTGCTTATAGAGAACACATACACGTTTTCCTAGCCTGATTCATCAGCTGGTTTCACTTCGTAGAAACCTGACTGACCTCACAGTGTTAGGATTCATTCGCTTGACAGTAGGCGGGTACTTTTTCATTTAACCAATCGCTGCTATTTGGTCATGAAGTATGTAATATGCCACTAATGGGGCTAACTGGTATATGAAGCTTTTCTCAAATCCCATAGGAAGAAGAGCAATAACTTCTTTCCCCTTGATAAAATTCACCAAACATTCTCTTTGTTCCAGCTTTAAATCCTCAATCTCAGGAATCGTTGACAACACAGAATATATGACTCTTTGCTGATTGACTGGTGCCTGAACTTGCACTTCCAGGGGTTTTGCGAACTGTCTAGTGTATTCTGACTCCTCACCTAGTCGCTGGAGAGAAATTAAATTGAGCAGAGGCTCTAGGTGGCACCAGCCTGGCTAACGTTTTCCAGTCATGTCTCATGAATTCACTCACTGAGCTGCAGAGGCTGAGGGTTTAGGGAGTGACCATTCAGATCAGAGAGAGCCATTTTAGGTTTAAACCAACTGGATTGAAACTGGCAACCCAAATAATACACTCACGTGGAGCTCCTGCTTGAGACCCAAACCATAAAATAATAACATGAACAAGTTTGCCGTTATGTCCAAAGTAAGAGCAAATCAGGACTACAATTGTTATCAGTAAACAGCTATAATTGATTTGATTGATTGATTTACCTCTTATCTGGGGAAATACAGTCATTAATCAAACTCTTACATACAGTTACTTTAAGTATACTGTTTGAAGGAGAATGCAATAGTAATGAAGTTCATATATTGTTGTTAATGCATCTGCACCACAGACAAAATGCTTTCAGACCTGATCCATATGTCACTATATCTTATACAATCTAATTTATCTTCGTGTAGTGGTATTGACAATGCATTTCTCTCACTGCCAGTCATAGCAGTCTGCTTGAACTACATGTACAGTAATCCAAATGAAGGCTTATAAGAGCTCTACCTGATTTTTACTGTCTTAAAAATCTGTAAAACAAAACTAGCTAATTTTAAACAGCTTGTAGTGGTCAAAAGTTACGCCTCAGTTACCTTAAGCATCTGAACATTTAGGTTTAGGTTTGCCATGACAATAAAGCTAACAACAAGTAGTATGCTAATGCGCACTTCCTGATTATTGGACACTAAAAAAAACTTTTAAATTAGATGCAGACAAAATTTGGTACAGGACCTTTTAAAAAGCATTCAAGTTTCAAACATCCAATGGGTAAATTATTTAGTTCTACAGCCTTAATTTGTGAAATATAGATGGAATACTTTTTTAAACAGGAACAATATTTCGTAGTTGAATTTACTCAATAATGCAAAAATAAATAAATACATTCACTTAAAATATTAACTAACGCTACACATGGACATTTCTTGTGTATTTTAAAATGCTGATTGATGAATGATGTCACCCACTTCAGCTAAATCTCTGTTGTGGTGTACATGTGTTTGATCACGCACAACAATCAGGGAAAGAAACTCCAGGGGCTAAAAACTACGCTCTTTTACTCATACTCATATTCACTTCTGTGTTGAGATATAATTATGTCAAGGCTGTTTCGACTGTAGAGGGAGTTCTGTTTGAAGTGAGATTTAGGTGAAGTCCGTGGTGACGTCTTCATAAGTAAAATTAAACTCCTCAAAGACACACAGAGGACTGAGGAACCCAGATTTAGAGAGGATGACCTCAATTTAATTAGAGTACAACTTGTAGTTACAAATGTTATGTAACTAACTGCTGTCGATTTTAACTAGGTTTTTTTTTATACAAATACATCTGCCATTGCGTTATTTCACTCACTGAAGCAACACAAAAATATAATGGATTTTTTGTGTGTCAGACTTTCTAATAATTACGCTATTAAAAAAGGGTCACAACATGAATAAAAGTTAATATAAAATAATAATGCGCTTGTCAGTGTCGGGGTGTTTATTCAGAGAGAAGGAACACACTGACCCCAAAACCATTGTGCTTGTAAATTAATTATAAGTAATTAAAAGTCTAACGCATTACCTTATTTTATTCACAATGGCAAAACAGCAAGTATGAGTCATCTTATTTTTCAAACTATTCATGAGTTTCAGCTTCTTGTTATAGGCACAATTTTGAGGAGTTTTTGTTTTCAATTGTTAATTGCATTGGCAACTAGGGCTGGGTATCATTAATAAGTTGAGATACGATGCATACCTCGACACATAGGCCACGATACGATATGTATTTCGATACAGTGCACTTTCGATTCGATTTACTTCAAATCAATTCGATACGGTTCAATAAAAATAATGTCTAAATCATGGCTGTGATCCTAAAAATCATGTTGTTAAACCACTTCTTTTGCAAAGTTCATATGAAACACACTCATTTTCAAAACAGTGAAAATGACAAATGTGCTACATAAACTAGTTTCCTTCTTCTGAACAAGCAACAAAACTGTAGCGCTGTCACAAAATAATTTAGTTAACTATATCAAAAAATACTCTTGGCGATATATTGATACAGCATTCCACGATATCGATACTGTATCACATTAAGCGATACGATATATCAATTTTTCAATAGTTTTGCACACTCCTAATGGCAACAGTCCTAATTTTTCATCTTTTTTCGTTCTGCAAACTTAAAATAAATTTTTAACAATTGGGCATTGTAATCATGCAGCAGACTAATTAGTTTTGTAAACGACTTTGTGAAAACACTGGTAACACCTCCATCATTCACACTGCAGATTGTCTGGTCAGCCGGGAACTTGGAACAAAATAAATTTAATGATTTTTTTCAGTGTTATCAAATCATGTTTGTAATGTTATCAAATCATGTTTGTATAAATAAACCAGCAAAGTAAAGGATTCATCGTTTTTGCTAATTCACTGTTGAGTTTTCTCACCACCTAAAATGACTAAACCCACCTCTATTTCGGTCGCAGCTGAATAAATCTTCAACTCTATCAACGACCTGCGTATCAGACTTGAATGGTGAATAGCTCCACTGTAGAGTTCTTGTCGATATCCTGTGTGTAAAACTCCAGGACAGCTCTCATTCCCACTCAACAGCAGTGATGAAATGAAAGTATTGTTTTATGAATAGTCACGGTGTAATGTCTCTGCCCTCAGGCTCGGTACCTGCACATGAAGTACCTGTTCTTCTCATGGCTCGCTGTGTTTGTGGGCAGCTGGATCGTCTATGTGGAGTATTCATCCTACACAGAGCTCTGCAGGGGACAAGAGTGCAAAAAATATATTGTGAGTATTTTAATTATGAAATTATATTGTAATTTGAATTGTATTAATATATTCATAGGTTTCAGCTTCCTATTATGTGTAACATTTTCAGGACTTAAAATTGTCCAAACTCCTCATCATTTTGAGAAACATGTAAACATATATACAGGAATCTGATGTGATGGAATAATGTTGTGATCTTTTTCTTATCATCTGTAGTGTGACAAATACAGAAAGGGGGTGATTGACGGCTCGGCCTGCAGCAGTCTGTGTGAAAAAGACACTCTGTACCTGGGAAAGTGTTTCACAGCTAAAGCCAACAGCCAGGTAGCTCACAAGCCTCTCACCAAATGTTCAAATATAGGGAAAACACACAGAGAGGGAAAAAACAAGACCCAAATCTCAGTGTTTTAAAATTATTATTAAACTAGAAAAGCACTCAGAGAGCGCAGACCTCCGCCAAGGACTACCCCCATTTTTTATATAAATTGCAATAAAATCTGTCTTCTGGATCAGATCCGGATCAGCCTTTGGAATATGAAAGAGGATCCCATTGTCCATCCCTGACTCAAATTTCATGAGGTTTGGTCAATAATTAACCGAGATATTGAGAAACAAAATTTTTGGCCCCATTCACCACAATGTTAACTAAAATTTCAAAGTGATCCAGAATCTAGGATTTCTTCCGGATCACCCCCAAAATGAAATCAGTTCTTCCTTTTCACATTTTCAACAAATCCTGAAAATTTCATCAAAATCATTCATAACTTTTTGAGTTATGTTGCTAACAGACAAACAAACAAACAAACAAACAAACAGACAAACGCCGGCAAAAACATAACCTCCTTGGCGGAGGTAAATATAGTTTAAAATTACAATTTGCCTCCTCTGTTGCTGGAATGGGTGTTTTGATTTTCTGCCCTTGATAAGAATTTGTTTTGAGATTTGCATTGTAAACAATTGGACAAATGTTCTATTTAGGTCAGACATTGGCTCAGGGGCCAAATTTGGCCCGCGATATAATTATATTTGGCCCGCGAGATCATATCAAATATGTATAAAAGCTGACCCGCCAGCTACAGATCAGCTATAGAGACATTATTTATTTAAAATTTTGTTATCTTATATTTTGCTTGTTCTGGATTCAATGGTTGAGCAAAACTATTATTAAACATTTATTTTAATAAGAAAAAGTTTGTCATTACATAGCTCGAAAGAAGAGAAAACATGCAGATATTGTTGAAATTGTTCAAGAAATATTTAGTTTGGCCCACAACTTAGTCCCGTGTTTTTTTATTTTGGCCCTCTGTGAATTTGAGTTTGACACCCCTGATTTAGGTCATTTTTTGTTTCGTGCTATTGCCATGTTCTTCTATCAACATATTGTCATCCCATATAATCTGGAACTGTATCCTCCCTCCACATATTCCAATAGACTTGACGTAAGTGTATTAACCAAAACAAATGCATGATCTGTTTGTGTCAAAGCACAAATGCCAGCACATGATTAACAAAGGAATTTAAAAAATTGCGTTTGATAGACACTTTAGCAGCTGTGGCTAGATGTCCCAAAACTGAATGATTGCCTCTCTCCCAGATCTACCTGCATTTGAAGAGAAAGTAGTTAGGATTAGCTCACCAGATAACACGCCTGTCCCTCGTGCAGGTGTACTCTGGGAGCTGGGCCGACCTGGATGCTGTGATTAAGTGTCAGCTGGACGACGCCCCTCGATACGACTTAGGAAACGAGCCGAGGAGAGAGGCTGCGTCCTTTGACGCCCCCGCCAAAGGCACCTCTGTGGAGCAGTTCAGAGAGATGATCTACAACCACCTCAAGGTCTGGGAGTCACTTTACTGATAAACTCAAAGCAGAAGTAGGGAACTTTATGTGGGTTTGTGACAACATGGTTAACTGCATTCACATATTGTATCTTAAATATGATTCAAATAAGCCAACAAAGTACTTTTGACTAAGATCTATCTAACATGAATGATGAATAGTAGTTTGCATACAGTAGTGCTGTGGTCTCAACCAACCCTGAGCTATCAAGTTGTACTTCTAACAACACTAAACAACACATACAGGATTACTCAGATGTTACAGCTTTGCCTGGAATGTTCACAATATAATCTAATCTGTCTGGCAGGTATACCTATACAGGTTGGCTTTTGCTGAAAAATACCTTTAAAAACATACATTTTTACTGTGTGAGTGGGGCATCTCTCCACAGTACTGACGTGTAATGTCATACTCACAGGCGGTGTTAGCAATTTGGGGCCCTAGGCGAATTTGCGTTTGGGACTCTCATTATAATGCACTGTTTTGTTGTTTGTTTTTTTAATTTATTGTCTGTTTTTCCCCGGTGTTCATGAGACACGCACATCTTTATTTGAATTAGTGTGAATTGTAAACTTGTCTTTATAGTTAGATAGCCTATTAGATAACCAGAGCTGAAAGTAGTTTTATTTTTTTACTAGTACAATTACTTTTTTGTTTACATCCATTAGATATGATTACTATTTTGCTATGATTATACTGGGTCAAGCTGAGCTGTCCATTCTGATATGAAAAGGGGGAATGCTTTGACAGTTACAATAGATTTGACAATTAGATACTATTTTGATGTTTGTTTGTTTTTAAGGTAAATTACTCTCACTTAATGTCATATTGAGAGAAAATCAAATTGCTCTGTGACCTCAGGCATCAGTGACACTGAGGATGGGGGCCTATCCAGGTTTGAGGGCTCTAGGCGGCCGCCTACTGTTGCCTAATTGTAGCGCCGACTCATACTGTGGAACATTCTAACTATAGCTCTACGCCATCCACCAGAAAAGATAAAGAGTTACAGCTAAAGAACTCCTTTTAAAAAAATTGAATTAGCATAATGTAGCCACTTTAAAGCTACCGTCTGTAATTACTTTGGCTCAACAGGCCCTTCTGTAATCTGACATATCATCACTAGATGCAGTCTACTTTACTGTAGTCTGATAGTGTGCCAGCTTTGGCCTGACAGAGGATGACCAGAGAGCAGAGGTGGGCCTAAACAAAGGCCAGGTGATGGGCAGAGGGAACGGGTTTCACTCTGCCATCTACTAGAGATAAAAAAAATCAAGGATGGATGTTAGCTCTAAAGGTGGAATCACGACTTAATACAGTGATGAAAAGCCCTTTACCGGCCAGAGTTGGGGACCAGGCCAACCTGGACTCTCTCTTGAGGCCCGCTCCGCCAACTCAACGAATTCCTCCTGGCTTTAGTCCTGCAAGACCGTGAACACACACCAAAGTTACTGGGCTTCTGCGGAGACTTGTACGTTACGGAGAAGGTCCCATACTCCCCTTTGTACGGCATAACTTTACCTTGGATTTTCGAAGTCTGGATTCCCACTGGTCTACGCAGACGCATGGACCACACCCCATCTACACTAAAATCTTTCTTGAGCTAGTTGAGGAACGGGAATTTTGGCAGCTTCCTTAATGTGGCGCAGTGCAGAAAGAAGATGGTGATACTGATGAAGATTGCGTTTACGGGAGAGACTGCATGACTTCTTGTGATCTAACCAAGCATAGGTGCACGACAGATATAGCAAGACCAAATTTAGCCAAAGCTTGTGAAGCACTTAAAGACTATATACTTAGAGGAGTGCCATCAGATGTGAAGGAAGAGCTGGAAAAGCAATTGTACGCCTGTATTGCTCTCAAAGGGACCACTGAGCAAATGGAGATCGAGCACTCGCTGATCCTCAACAATCTTAAAACGCTTTTGTGGAAGAAAATCTCGCACACTAAAGACTCTTAATGAAATAATTTGCACATTTTTGTCCCTTTCTTTCAGGGTCAGAGACTTGTAACCACTGTGTATCACATAGAACTGTTAGATCATTTACAAAGGCCTATTTAAGAATATTTTAACTTAAGTACATTTATTTATGAATGCCAGTTTATATATAGGCAATACAAGTTTTATGTAATTGTGAGAAGTGACATTTTTAAAATTGGAAAATAAATTAATTTTTCTTGTCTTTTTGACCTAGTATTCTTTAACATTTCATGGTTTAGACACGAGTGCAATCTAACGACATCGAAAAATATTCACAATATTAGTGCAGCATCTCCTTCTCTGCCGTTTAAAAATGAGATGTTTCCCAGCTGCCTTTAGCACAAGAATGTTTTAATCTAATCATGAGAGTGCCATCTTGTGGTCAATTATGAGACCAACTTTATTAAGCCTGACTCAACTGAGCTAAAACATTCCCACCAGTAAACAGTTACAGGAAAAGTAATAGTAGATAGCCATCCTCAACAAAATTTAGAGTACATTTTATGCCCAAAGATTTAAAAAAGTTTAAATTTACTATAGTTCAACTCAAATTTGGAGCCCCACTATACCTGTATAGTCTATATATAAAGAATGCACTTGATCCAGTTGACAATTTTTAAATCTCTTGTTGTAAATCTTAAAAGAACCACAAAACTGTACTGTATGTTCATGTAGCTGTTACACGGGGAGCAGAGCCTATTGTACGTCTAAAGTGTGTAGGTGTAAACAGGAAAAGCACTGACAGCTGAAGTGGACTTTTCAATAGATTTATTAGAACAAATTGCGTGTTTAGGACAGGGTCGGACTGAAGCCTCAGTCCTCCTCCTGTTCCTGAGCCCGGAGGAAGCTGGCCTTCTTCTGGGCAACGCGGTCTTTCCTCTGCTGCAGGGACAGCTTGGCACGGTTCCACCTGGAAGCAACAATCGGAGGTTGAGACACAAAACTAGGTATAGGCTGTCACAACACTAAAAAATTTCAAACTAAAATGTCAAGGCTCAATACCCAATGTTGATTCCATCACCATTTCTTTTAGATAATGTTGATAAACTCATGAAAATCGTATACACCAAGAATTTCAAAATTATTCTTAAAAAAGGTCAGATTTTGTCCCAAGCATTATTTTAGTATTGATCCTTGAACATCTAGTTAGGACATTTTAGTATCAAACAGTATCCGCTTTGATTTTGACAAATTAAATGTAATCCCTCACTTTGGAAAGATTCAAAAGGCTGTCATCTGGACAATGATTGCTTCTTGGTAGTAAGCGTAAACTAGATTTCAAAAACAATCAATATTACAGTACTGGCTTGAGGCGGCAGAATACATTTTCTACCATCAATTGAACTGTCAAATTTCCTGTTTCCAATGTGTTAGGTCTGAAAGTGGAATGGGTTTGAGTTTCATTTCATGAATTTCTACCATTTATATAGAGATTTATGGCATGGTCACCAGAAATCTGACAATGCATTTTTCAATTAAAGGATAGATTTTTGTTGCAGAGTCAAACTAAATTTTCCATGAAAAATAATTGCAGTACCCACTAAACAGCTGAATGTATTGGACAACAAACTATCATTTTATATCAAAGCCAGTTCACTATTAGATGAACAGTCTGGTTTCTAGATGACTAGATGCAAAGCATTATCAGTGACTTGCATTGTCCCCAAAAAACGGTTGACAAATAATTATCATATAATAAACTAATTGGGGAACACACACGCAAAAAAAACATCCATGCATAAAACAATGACCAATGTAAAATTGTGGTTTAATTCATACCTCTTCTTTTTGATTTCTTTTGGGGGCTTCTTTTCATGGACAGGGTTCTCGCGAATAGCAGCATGAGCCTTTTTGTACATCTCCTCAATCTGAAAGACAATGCAATTTCTTCTTATCCAAACAAGTGATGGTACTAGTTATTTGCTGAAACCAGCTTTCATTCCTGGTAAACATGTGGATCAATTATAACAACGCAGCAACATTAACAGCATAAGGCTGCAATGGTTACTGGTTCATTCCACTTCAAAAGAGCATACAGTTTTGTCCCTGGATTGGAACCTTCAGTCTCCTCTATGTGAATATTGTGGTCTTGAGGGACTGCTGATAACAGGGGTCATAGTCACACATTACCACAATTGACAAACACTAGATTTCACAATTACAAGCTGGTGGAAATTCACATTTCAGTTTTTATACACTACACAATTTCAAGACTGCTATAGTTTTGTGCATATACTGGCAGAATCTTAAAAAGTATGACAACATTTGAAAACTGGACATCAAAACAATCAACTCACAGAATCAGGGGTGATTCCGTTCTTGATAAAGCGAGAGAACTGCTTCTTGTAAGCTTCCTCATCCTCCTCCATCAGATAGGCCATGTACTCGGACACGTTGATGCCCAGAATGTGTTTGCGATGAACCTCTGCGTTGAACTCTTTGCTCTCTGTGTCGTACCCAGGGAAGCGCTTCGTGCTGGGGAGGCAAAAATGCTCAAGGTAAGATGGATCATTACATTTCACACGAGCCGTGCAAATAACAATTTTGCAGCAACTTTCATAAGATTGAGCAAGTGCCTAGTCTTAGTGGGCCTAGTTCTCTCACGCCATTTTAGCACAGTAAAATTATTCACTTATTTATAACTTAACACTCTTGCTCTAATAAAGGAAATTAGTGTCACTGCAGGTCAATAAAATACACTCAAACACAAAGCTGTAGCAAATTTGAGCATGTCTGACAAAAGGCTTCAGATTAATAACACGGTTTTAAATGATGCTGCTTAGAGAGCTTGTGAATCTAATGGGAAGACTATAATACACAATATGTGTAATGCATTGCTCTTACTGAAGAGGTAATTTCAAACTAAATTATCTTGAAAAAATAATGGTTCAATAATTAAAAGGGTAAAGGAGAATGTTGTGTTAGAGAGTGAAGAGGAGCTATGAAAATTATGAAATGCACAAAACTCAAGTTTTCCCAAGCAGCTTACACTTACAGTTCCTTGGGCCAATGAATATGAATATTTTGAAAGCACAATATGATTTATGTAAATTACTGAATTATCTAAAATACTCATAAACATGACATGTAAAAAGCTGTCAAGCTGCAAATAGGCAAAAAAAAAAAAAAAAACTTTCACAAACCAAAAATGTATAAAAAAAAAAACAAAATACTGTAACCTATGTATCAAGATGTGTATCAAATTGTGACAAAACTGCCATTGTGTCCCTAAGGTCTAGATTTTTAGATACCAATCTGGCTTATTCATGTCACATTAAATGCAAAGTTGAGTTTTGTGTAAAATCAGTGTTTAGAGTCATGGCCTTAGACATGAGTACATAGATGCTCACCTGTGTGGGATAGACAGGCCTCCGTCTACTGCCCCCTTCAGGGCACCGAACACCTTGTTTCCGGTGGTGGTTCTGGCGAGGCCAGCATCCAGGTAACAGGTAAAGGCTCCAGGCTGACCATCAATGCTCTCCACGTTAAACTCATCTCCGGTGACCTCCACCTGGCCCTCGTACACCTTGTCCAGGCCAAACTTGTTAAGCAGCTGGAGACAGAAGAGACAAAACCGTGAATTTCTGGGCATTCAGATGCAATGACAAATTATAAATCATCATTAACCAAGTTTTCTAAAGTTTCCATGGCTACATTAAATGTCAGTTTTATTGATTTATTGGATTCCACCTTTACTCTTACAGAGGTAAAGACTGTTCTTCCTGGGGTCCAGTTTTGTGTAAACACTCCACACAATTACTGTATTTTCTGGGCTATTAGGCACTCTGGATTATAAGACGCACTGTCATTAAATGGTCTAATTTCAAACTTTTTTCACAAATAAACCACACCGCACTTTAAACGAAATAACAGTTAGATTGGTCAGTTGGACTTTGTTTAGCGCATTCAAGGTGAATCTCGACTTTGTTCAATTGTGGCGCATAGGGAGGGTGCTGTCTCGAACTGCTGGATTGTTGGCGTGTTTGCAGTGACTCAGTTGTGTCTAGAAGTGGCACACTGCAGTCGTTTTTTCAGTTTGTTCCTCGTCGGCGTGGACTGATGAGTGTGGCTGCGGGTGTGTTTCGCTGCGCTGTTGCTTTCTGCTCTGTGTGTGTTTACGTGCGCTGCGGGTGGTGCGGTTTGGTGGTTTACTGAAATCCTGCTGGGACATCCCAGTGGATTCGTGTATAGGGCGTGCAATTATTTTTGATGGGGTTAGAGGCTTAAGAGTGCATCTAATATCCCGGAAAATACGGTAGTTTGAGTAATTTCAAATAGAGGGGCTGGCACATCAGGCTAAAAACATGGATCATACAACACTGCAAAAGGCTCCTCACGCTTACACAAACCAGGAAGACGTTAATAAAAGATGCAATTACAACTTCCGGGGTAGTTGCAGACAATGGCCTCGCCTAACATGGATCTATTAAAACCAACAATGATAAAATCCACTGAAGTAAATGATCAGCGGTAAAATGAAGACTGCATACGTATGTGCCGTTTGGAATCATCTTGAATTTGGCGCCTCATCTCTTCTAATCGCATGTACCCTATGCGCTCGGAGTTCTGTGTTAGAGGGGAAATGATGAAAACTGAGGTTTGGTTTTAACTATTGATGGGCCAAACATAATAGAATGCTACAGTGACATATAGATGAAGAAAACTGGACCTAGGAATCACATCTTTCCAGACATCTTCCTGGTTTGTGACGTAAGCGTGAAAAGAGCCCATGGTGCCTACAGAGACATGAGAAAAGCAGCCCAACACTGCAGCTGCAGAAGGATATCTAGTTTATAATGCAAGTACATAACTTGCTAGAGAGGTGCATTTATAAGAGCAGCACATGTTTCTGGTGAATAATATAGTACAAATCCTGACTTACTCTGCGGGCCAGCAGCAAACCAGTGCAGTAAGCTGCCGCGTAGTTGGTCAGACCCACAGCCACGCCATATTTGGGCAGCTCATGAGAGTAGGCCGCACAGACGATCACATCTCCTTCGATCTTGGCATAGGCAATCTGCAACATTATAAAACAAATGTTTACACTCCTGTTCATGTGGGTTGGAACGGTGAAGTTAGTGTTGTTAAGCAATGCATTGGCATACAAACAATCCTCTAGACTGTCAGATATGGTCCTTACCTGGCAGACGATGTCCCTATTGGAGAAGCGCACAATCATGCGGTATTTGGGTGTGTTGTACTTGTTTTTGTCCTGGACGACCAAACGCTTACGAGCAAAGAAATCAGTTTTGCCCTCTGGAAAACAAAAAACCCACATCATTAGTATTGCATAGAAAGTCAAGTGGAACGAACTTCAGTTTGGGGCTCACCTCTCCTCCTCCTGAATTTAACCTGATACCTCTTGAAGTAGGCCTTATTCTTAACCACCTTTACGAAACCCTGAAAAAGAACATACATACATGGTGTTAGAAAGCTCTGAGCATAATACAGGACTGCTTAAGGGTTTATTGCTCTTGCTGTCACTGTCAAACAGATAACGGAGTTAATAGCATGCCATTGGCGTATGTGACAGGCATTAGCGTGGCGGCTAGCCGGTTTCAGTGTCAAAGTAACTGGATTCTCTGCAAATTACGGAGTGGGCTCTGGGTTTAATAGCGCAGCTTCAGGACGTACGTATACGGGATACAGAACAGCCACAATGCTGTTTACGAACGACAGGAAGCTGCGAGTTTATCTGGAGTCCATTTAGGCCACGTTAGTCAGTACCGGGTGAGCATTAGCATGGCTCAATCTAACTTCATCTGAGCGACATCAGCGCCGTTATACATTTATTTCTCCACAGAACAAACAATGCACGTCTTAACAATGCGTGGAGGTTCATATTGGGACGAATTACTAACCATATTGCAGTCTTTTAGTCTCCTTATGAAGGAGCCCGGAGCCAAAGACTGGGGCTTGACTCCGCTGCACTGGAAAAAGAAAGAACGACGTGCGCATGCGCCGTAAGTACCGTGTGACAGGAAGAAGGCCGCTGCAGTGGAGGCAGCGCTCTGCTCTGCCATCTACAGGCCTGGCGAGGATATTGCAATAACAAATAAATAGCAAGTTCATCATTAAAGTGCTGTACTTTAAATGTATGTAAGGTAGGGAGACCAGAATTTCAAAATAAAAAACATCCACGTTTTTTTGGTGGTTAGTAATAATAAGATTGTGAAACAAATATGTAAATAAGGAAAATTGTTATGCAGAGGCCATTCATGACTAACATGTAAGCCAGTATAGTCACATTTTCTTTGTGTTTTGGTCATTTTTAAGCATTTTACTTAACCAAATGACAATTTATGCCTCTCTTTACTGTTGGCAAGTATCAGATTTGTCAAAAACTGTGACAAATTGCTGGTTTTGAATAGATCTGCTGGGACAGGGGACACATGGCTCAAAATTGGGATTGTCCCCATAATGTAAGGTTTAAAGAATGTATGTATATATGTCTTCGTGATTGAAGAAGTGATTGGAAATGTCAGTGATTATATACAATATACATCCACTAGTTTTTCACTCCGCATATCTACCAAATATATACTATATTGTAACCGATAAGGTAAGCACTACATTAAATATATTAAAAATGAACCTATTAATAACCATTAAGAAGCCTAAATCATCTAACAAACAACAAACAAATTGTGTATTACCCACTGAAGCAATATTAAACTTGTCAGACTTTCTTGTACATAACATACTTAGTCCTATTACACTGCATTCTCCATATTTCTTTTTATACCCTTTTTATTTTCACTAATTTCAGAGCTGTTTTAATATCACATGATGTTAATAAAGTTCTGTCCTTTCTTGTTGTCTCTGGTTAATGGCAGTCATCCAGTCTTTTTTATTTTATTTTATTTTTTTTATTTTATTTTTTTATCTTACCTCATCTAAATCTACAATTGTTTTGACAGTCACCATGTCGCCCTTTAACGTCACAGCTGCAGACACAGCTGATATAATACGAACAGAGGAGTGTCCTACAATAGGTTTGCGTCACGGCCTCGAGGTCCAACCTGAAATGTAGGTTCATGAGTGAATGGTATGTGATTCAACGCTCAGGGCTTAGACACTTTTCATCTGCAAGAGTTTCTATTGAGGAAGTACTGATGCGCCATTTGTTCATCTTTCTATGACAGCAGACGTGGCATCACAGTGCTCTTTAACTTTTTAAATTACAAGTTATCCACTTTTATTCAACTGAAATTATTCTGGATATTTTCATAGAGGACTATTCAAACAGCTATGGGATTCAGGTAAGCATGTTACATTAACATTGCTGTATAATGAGCTATGATTTTGTTAACAAGTCATTTTTATTTAGACTAAATTGTTATCCGTCTGTTTAGAGGCGACTGTTTTTTTGTTGTTTTTTTTTTAACTTAATTTGCCGCTACAGGCTTGATTGCTTATCTTGGTTTCTAGATGCAGATGAGGAATTTAAGACATTTACATTTAATATATAATTATTTTATTTGATGATTGCTGTCATGCTGTATAACTGGATAGCACAGAATAATGTCTAAGAGACAAAAACACTGTTACCGGTAATTAGTTTTCCTCAACAGTCAAGTTTTGCATGAACCCACAGTCACCTTGCCCTAGGGCTATTGTACATGCTTTGTACATAGCATATGTGAATCATATGTGAACACAGACAACTAATCATAAATTATATTGTATATTATACAGTTTAATACAATACTTAATGGTATTGGACGTAGAGCTTTTAACATATGTTCTGGCATAAGGGATCAGTACTGCAAGTATCTGTATTCTCATGATCTACTGTGGTATTTTTTAGTTTCTCTATCTTATAAATGTATTGTTTCCTCCTCTGAAAGTAGGCAAATTTGAAAACTGAATTGGCACAATACACTTGAAATTTGAGAGAAGAACTTAACATAAATATGCAGGATTCGTGTGCTAAACGTGTGTGAATGAAACAAAACACAACACTGAGTATGTTTTTTGATGAGGAAAAACATTTTACCAAATAACATGGGCCTTTTAATCAAAAATATGAACTTGGGAATTCTAAATGGACAGATGCCTGCGATAAATCAATATAAATATAGGGCGACAGTAGCTCAGTTGCTGGTTGAGCGTTTGTCCACTGATCTGAAGGTTAGAGGTTTGAATCCTGCTCTCAACATAAACATCATTCATGAGCAGTCAAATCCACTGACCCACAGGTTGGTGGTGCGATTTCAGCTCCCAAATATGAATACTGTCATTGTGTTTTTGGGCAAGACACTTAACTCACTTCGCCCCCAGTGTCTGCGTACATTGGTGTATGAATGTGAATCTCTTTATTGTTGGCAGATATCAAATCAGTCAAAAATAGGAACACCTGGGACACTTCTTGTATGAAACTGTGACAAATTGCTGGTTTTGGATAGATCTGCTGGGACAGGGGACACAGGGCTCAAAAGTGGGACTGTCCTGGGTAAATAGGGACGTCTGGTCACCCTAATGTAAGGTTAAAAGAATGTATGTATATATGTCTTCGTGGTTGAAGAAGTGATTGGATTGTAAAACGAGAAAGGGTTTGTTGTAAAACATTTTGAGTGCCTTGAAGGTGGAAAAACGCTATATAATGTCACCATTTAAACTTAGACACATTTTATTGATCCACAAGGGAAATTACTCAGACACAGTAGCTCACACATCATACACAGGAGGTTGTACATCTGTATGGAGTAAGGTATGAATAAAGTATCTGTATCTCTCACTGTCTCACTTACAGTAAATCAACATAAAACTTTGCTGGATCTATAATATAACCCACTTCTATACTACAGCTGCCCTTTCTTGCCCTGACAGAATAAACAGAGCCAGTTCACGCGTTTGCACATGTTTACAGTGAACTCTACGTGGCACTGTCGCTCCACTCGTTCCCCTTTGGCGCATGCGCAGCGCGATGTAAACAGTGGTGCTGGGCCTCGCTCCGTCGCCGCTCCGCCTCGGTCTGTCCCCGCGGTTCTCTGGACACGTATCACGGCTAATTGCATGGGCTGGACCCCGGCAAACCCTCCGCTGGCTGGCTTTCAAGTGGACTTACTACCAAAGGATGCTAAAAAACCACCACTTTGATCTTTGTCGATAGTTTTCTTCCAGCTTGGGGGAGTACAGTTTTCGTGCATGGGAAGCAGACGACCGAGGCTGTGGCTGGTTAAACTCGATTCAAGGTAATGGATGGTGCTTTGTCGGGCGCCGTCTAATTGCTGGGGTGTATAGTAGTTTTACACTGTTGCTTTTTGCACTTAAACAATACACTTATTATTCCTAACCCGATTTTCAACTTTTGCTCGCCCTCCGTGTTAAATTAGTTTTTCTATTCATTTCTTGAAGTTGCTCGAGGCTACTTTACTTTGCTGGCTGAGTTGACCATGACTTCATCCATAGATTGACCAAGTATAAAACAACAGAACTTCTTGTAATTTTGGTCCATACGTCCAATCAACGCAACAAAAGTATAGCTAGTCTAATCTGGTCCAGTTTTGGGAGTTTAAATGGTTTTGTATGCCACTTCACACTTTTGCATTGGGTCCTATAATTTAACACAAGGCAAGTAAGCAAGCCATAAAAGGAACTTAAATTTCTTATCTTGCATTTTAGTTAGCACCTTTCAAAATAAGCCCTCCAAACTTGTTTCAATAGCTACAGCTTACTACTTTGACAATAGATACTGGGATATACTTAAATTCCACAAAGATTACCAATGCCAACTAGCCCAGTAACTCATTAATTCCTGTTGAGTTCAAGTATTTAATGCATTCGCTGTTATTTATTTTATCTATGAGTGAGTTAAGTGGTGCGCTGGTCTCTTTTGTATCATATTCATAGTACTATTTGTTGTTCCCTCAGTGATATCCACACCCACCATTGAAGTAAACACATTGGGATATTGTATCAGAATACAAAAGTTCAATAAAAGCAGTTATAGCCTTTAAAAAAAAGTTAATTTGATATCTGCCCATCTATTAAATTTTATAGGATCATCTTTGTAACAAATTACTACCAGTAGTTTTAGATGAGTTATTTGATAGAAAAATGTTAAATGTGTATGTATAATATAAAAAAAAATCTTGTCAATACTTGCAATTGTTCATAGTTTAATAGTCACAACCTCCCTTTTCCTTTCTGGGGGCAGCAGAGCAGAAATCCTTATATTGATCCCTGGGGGAAATTCTTTGTTTCTGTTCTGATGATTATAGTTTTTATAGGTTTGACTTTATATTGCTTTGCCATCATTTCATCTGGCTGCTCAGTGGTGACCAAGTTGAATACATGGCTTCATTAATCTGAACTCATTAAACCCGGCTTTATAGATCTTAGTAAGCAATACCACAGACACCCACACAGTAACTGGAGGAATGCAGCCATCTTTAATGCATCTAATGACCTGCAATTTTCTCCATTACCTCATTTGAGCTTCACTGATTCAAAGTTTTACCTGCCACATTAGATTACATAGAGTCCCAGTGTGCCCAAACACAACTGTACATTCACGTCTAGAGATCCACGACTTTTATTTAGCCTTATGTTCTTGCATATGCTCAACATTTACAGCTAAAAGTCATATTATGTTTTCCATTCTAGCTTGTAGTGAACAAAAGGTCATTGGCAATGGCCTTAATCCAATTGGGTCATCTGAAACGTAATGTATTTTCATCACAGTATTTTTTATTGTTGATGAAGTAACTAAAGCTATAATTTTTCAACTACCATGATTTTTTGTCTTATTCTGCATAAAAAACTGAGCACACTGTTGTTTAGATCTGTACAAACATGTTCTGAAATGTTTTTCTTGTGTTAATTTAGCAGTTCCTCTTTAAATCTTCTGGACAAATGTGAACTTTAAACAGAATACTATTATTAAAACTAGAGCCCGACCGATATGGATTTTGCTGTGGCCGATATGAAACCGATATAATGGGAGTTGGCGCTGCCGATAGCCGATATAATCGCCGATATATTAAGTGATGTAAAAATTCACTGTAAATGTTGAATTGTTTAAAAAACTTAGGTTGGGCTCTGGTGGATTTTAATATTGGGTTTATTTAGGCAACATTTATTGTTATTCTGCCTCTTTACATCATATTTACAGACAGTAGGTTGGCTTAATGGCATTTTTGCATCACATTCTAGACACTAGTGATGGGTATTCCAGTTCTTTTTAGAGAACCGGCTCTTTTGGCTCGGCTCACTAAAAGCTGCTGGTTCTTTTGGCTCCCAAGTGGCTCTTCAGATTGTTTTGTTGCAAGCAGGACTGAATCAGGACTGAACCAGGTCTAAACCAGGACTGAAAAAGGACTAAACCGGGACTTATTTATTTTTATGCTAAACTACAGTCAAATATGCTTTTAATTTTTATTTTTTTTAATCCTACGTGCACGCAAATTTCTCAAAGTTTCGTTTTTAGCCGCTGCCGCTGTCAAACCACGAATCACGCGGCGTGAAGAGAAAAAAAGTAAGAGAAAGAGAAAACAAGGCTCCCAATAAGGATCAGGCTCCCGTCGTTCCCTTCAAAGAACCGGTTCTAAGAGTCATTTCGTTCGCGACGGACCCATAACTAGTAAAGAAAGTAGCGCTATTAGCCTTTAGCCGTAAATACGTGCGCGCCGCGATAATTAATTATATGCGCAAATGTCATAATTCACACGTCTGTTCACAGCTCATTTACATATCAGTGCAGGTCCAGTAGCAAATATACGGCCAATGTAGCCAATTTAGAACAGACCAATAGAAAACAGACTGTTTATGTGCGGGAGCTACAGCAGCTAACCCATAACAAATGACAAAAACTAGCTTCAGAGTCGACATATTTCCAACACTCACCGCTCATACAGGCTCCTCCCACATCACAAGTCTGCACTAATAAATGTCCTTTTAATCCAGACTCAAACCGATTGTCCGTAAAAAGAATATAATCTCAGTGTTTGGATCTGTGTCTGCGAGTGTAAACAAACACACGTGAGTGACGCGACTCTGTGGTGTGTTCAG